GGAAGACCTCTGTCCCATCTGCTACGCTCACCCCATCTCTGCCATCTTCAAGCCTTGCCACACACACACTGCCCTACGGTCAATCGCGCACACACACACACACACACAACACACACACACACACACACACACACACACACACTCGTGGAGTATTCATATAATTGACATAATAGACCAGCCCCTTAATCCTCGTCTAACACTGGCACTAACGCCACATTCTGAGTCTCAAACATGCTGGTGGCGGGCAGCACATCCCGAGTTTACAGGACGCTGAGACGGCGATGAAGAACGCCCTGCTCGGTACAGCTGATGACGTGACGGCGAGTGTGGGGCAAGCAGGATCTTGAAAGTGTGAGATTGCTCCTGCAGACGTCCTGACACACACAGATATGGCTGACTCGCACACTCTCACCTGTGTGTGTGAGTCAGCTGTTTCCTTACTGCAGCTGGACGCCGCCGTGGGCGCAGACCTCGTTCATATCTGGATGCATATTTCATGCTATCCTGAAGGTGCGCTTGATTTAGCTGAGCTGGCACGCCGACTCAGCAGCCGTATGGATTGCTGCAGCATGATGGAGAGCGCTGTCACCGAGTGAACCAGCTGATTCCTCCTCGTGACAAACGGACTCGTGAGAGCAGCTCTGAGCGTTCACTCGGGCCCCTCTAAAACACACAGACAGGTTTCAGTGTGTGTCACACATCACGCCGGGTGAAACGAAGCTTCAAAACGGATCAAACGTCGTGTCGTCTGATTGGACAGCTGTGTGCTGTCGGTCCTCTGGCAGCTTTCTTGGCTCAATAACGACTTAAACACCGTCAGAAAAATAATCTTAATTCTGCCACATTGTTCTTTATTCTTACTGGACCTTTCAAAATAAAAGCCAAAACCTTCAAACCAATATTACCACCATTAAAAAACATCTAAAGTAACATTGTATTGTATAGCACCTTTCAAAATAAAAATCACAAAGTGCTTCACAGAAACGCTAAAACACAGAAACAAAAATGATTTTAGCTGTTTTATAAAAGAGACTGCTGAGTCCACAGAGCTGAAGCTCAAAGGGAGAGGGGTCCAGAGTCTGGGGGCCACAGTTACAAAAGCTCTGTCAACTTTTGTTTTCAGCCTCATATGATGGACAACCAGCAAGCCCTGATCACATGACCTCAGGGACCTGCTGGGATGTAAAAGATCTCTGATGTATGTCGGTGCTCGTCCATGCAGAGCTCAGAACGTGCTGAAGAGGGAGTAAATACAACAGACACAATCTGATAAACCCTGAGACAGAAAATCCCCCGACAGCTTCGTTAGAGCCGCTCAGATTAGCCGCTGTTCTTTAAATATGGCTCACTGATGGGGTGGGCGCAGGAAGTGATGCAGGGCGGTGAAAATCATCATCCCAAAGAACCAAAAGCACGACCTAAGTGTTGTCTTACAAAGAGATCCGCACAGATGACGTAGCCAGCAGGTCCTGGCTCGCCTTCATCTGTCTGAGTGTTTGGAGGCAGGTCGCCTCCCACAGCTGCAACCTGGCCCTCAGAGGTGGACCTGCAGCTCGCTGCTGCACGTGCTCACAGTAACCCTCCAACAGCAAAACGCTGTGAAGATGTGTTAGCCCAGCTCAGTCACACATAAACACTTTTAATGCTCAAAGCTGTTTGCAGACGATCACATGATCAGCGTAACTTCCTGTTTCCTCTGCAGAGCCTGCATCAACCAGCACCTGATGAACAACAAGGACTGCTTCTTCTGCAAGGCCACCATCACCGGAGTCGAGGACTACAGCAAGCCGGCCTCCTCCTAACACACGCACACACATACACGCGCACACACACACACACATGCAGGGTGAAATGAGGCACCATAACTACACACAAAAAACCAGAGCAGTGATGTGAAGACAGCAGCAGAACCAGCTGTCACATTAGCACAACAGCACCTCCACCTGTCAAAGCGAGTACACCACGCACACAGACACACACACAGACACACACAGTGCTACAGGGCAACAGGATGCAGGCGTGCCGCCTCTGCAGAAACACACAAACAGGAAACAAAGGAGAACCTCATCCTCAGCAGAGGAAGGCTTCCTCCAGGACTCCCACAGTAATTTAACACAGACACACAAAACTCACATAAAACACACGAAAAGGTCGACAAAGAGCCAAACAACCGCAGATAGGATCCAGCGTCCTCCATCACCACCTGATCCACAGCTCAGAGAGCTGTACCTGTACACACACGCCTGCTGGACTGTTGTTACCCTGCTGTGACAGAGTTTCTGTCCTTATCACCGTCAGGCTCCAGATTCAGTGTCACAAACAAAGAGGGCGTCACTGCTGTTGAAAAGCTGCTTTAAGATAAACGTCCACATCATTAAGAAGTGATTTCAGGTCTCATAAACTTCATTCACAGCAGAACACAGAAACATGTGACCTGTTCAAATCGGTTAAATAAACAAACGTCCATCCTTTAACTACAGGCTGCTCTTCATCAGTAAAATTCAAACCGTCAGCAGATGTTTGAACTTTCTGTTCTCCACGAATCAGAGAAAACCTGAACCTGGCGTGGATGAGACGCACATGTGTATCCGGATTACTGCGCTGATGATGATGACGGTGGTGTTTCTGCTGGAGGAGTCGTTGCGTGCTCGCTGTACTCTGCCGTTAGTTCCACAGTTATGATTTCACACATGTTCACACTGTGGGGCGCCGTTTGTAAAGTGAAACATGCTGAAATTAACTGCAATATTTTTCCACATTTAGCTAAAAACGAGTCCTTTTTTTTACAACATTTAGTAAAATACTTGTAACTTTTCACAGTTAAAACACAGTTTTGAATGTTAAATCTAAATATTATATTTAAATCTAAATGTTACAGGAAACTAAATATTTAGGCTAACATGTAAAATTTATTGTACGGATCAACGGAAATACCAAAATAAAAGCTTTACGAAAACCTCGGGAAAAAGGAGAACACATGAGAACCGTTTGGACTCAATCTACACATGTTGGTTCATTTTCTTAAAATCACTTTGGACAACACTATTTTACGCCATTTAGCTGCTGGTTAAGGTTAGGTTATCGTTAGCTTTAGGGCTGGAACGTCTATTACCGTGGGACCGTCCACTGGGATTCAGCCATAACAATAAGTTTCCTCAGGAACGCCGCGGGACGTGACAAAACATCGGTATGCTACGCCCCGGGAGAGAGCAGACACAGCCCGGGGCTGTGTGTGACCATCAGGTGTGAAATGACCCCTGCTGGTCACTTCTCACCGCCATGAGCTGCTTCACTTCTTGCCTACCAGCAGCGATTTAGCTGAGAACCTCCGAAGATCCGTTTCGTCGGCCATCCAAAGGTTCAGCAGTAGTGCGCTCAGCAGCTGCAGTCTCCACTTCACAATCGCTGCAGCACACGGACATGCTCGTAGGCAAGAAGTGAAGCAGCTCATGGCGATGAGAAGTGAGGCGGAGAGCAGACGTAATCTGACCAATACCGGCACACTTTTGCACCGGAGGTTTTCGTAAAGCTTTTATTTTGGTATTTCCGTTGATCCGTACAATAAATTTGCATGTTAGCCTAAATATTTAGTTTCCTGTAACATTTAGATTTAAAATTTAAAATTGTGTTTTAAATATGAAAAGTTAAAAAATATTTTACTAATCGGCGAACGGTGGATTTTTCTAAATTCGTGAATCACTGCTTTTACTAGATTTAAAATTAAAATTGTAACTAGCTTATATAGACTTTGAGATTACACTGCTGACTCTGGACAATCATGGCCAATAACAAAGAAACAGGTTAGGGCACATCATAAATTAATCGTTAGCTTAGGGCAGACTAATGAAAATTTTGGACGCACGGAGGTGGTTGTGTAGAGTCAGGTAGAGTATATTTTACAGATAGTGATAATTTGGAGGTGCCACATGCGCTTTTGGATGGATATTCATAGACCTCTTTGGTTTGATTACATCTCTGTTACAAATTGCCAATAACTAAGGAATTATTGTCACTTTTTAAAGATTTCTTGCAAACTGCCACTCTTTGACTTGCATTGGACAGCTGGCAGGTACAGTTATCTTTAAGGTATTTTTGTGGTATTGACTTAAGCTTTGAGGAACTAAGCATGGAACTTTAATTTAAAATAAAGAATCACTGTAGAAGAATTATCAATTTCCCAATGGATGACCCATATTAATTGTTTAGTGCATTTAATACACGTTAAATGGGAAAGAATATTTTTCGACAGGTAAATCTTAACGCATGGTCGCAGGGCAGGCACAAATAGATGAAATAATGGTGCAGGAAATGTATATTCTTTGAATTTTGCGGCGTTGCACATAATAAGATCAGGATATTTTTTGATAGATGGAATTTGGAGAAAATATTGGTGATATTTTAGTCATATTGTGAGTTACCCATTTACTTTGGCCGCCCTATGCGTAAATAACGTAATATCAGTCTTGGTGTGATTTATCGACCACACGCTCATTATGCTGCGTTAATGTGCAATATTTATGAATGTGAAAGTGACATCTCAGCTTTAATCACTACGATTTTATCACATGTAAGTGAGGAGGCTGGTGAAGGTAGGCTGTCCATATATGTTAGAGCTGGATTTTTCAGGCTTTTCCATGAAGTTGTTTTTGGTGGGTGGGGGGTCGGGAGGTAGGGGTCGGCTAACGTGCAGGCGAACAAACCATCACGAGGTGATTCATTCTTATGAGCAAATTTTTCTTTTTTCTCATTTTCAGCTTGAATGTTTAATATACTGCTGATGTCCTTTATCACAAAATATCAGCTTTCCCTGCTGCTTGTTCTAAGCCCATTCACCCGTCATGCTCCCCTCCCTCCTTCGGCGCTCCAAACAATCAATGTTTGGATGGGCAGGCTTCCCCCCAGTGTCATTATGTAGAGGCAGGGAACTTGTAATCTCCCGCTAACTGCTTGCAAGGAGATGAGGGAACAACAAAGATCCATTAATTAGCTGGGCTAAATGGTACTCCTGGCTGGAAGGATGTCTTGACGAAGACAGAAAGAGAGAGAAGGAAAAACAATCAAAAACAGAAAAAAAAAAAAAACCCAAATGAATGTCTGGATCCCTCCAGCGTACGATAAAAGAGGGTGAAAAGGACACAGGATACAATGAAATCTTCCCTGCAATGGACCATCTTCTACATTTCACTATATCTCCAAATAATAGAAAATGGTAAAATCCCAATCCATGACAGTATTGTAGTGAGAGAGAGATTTAAATTCTACCATTTATGATGTAAACACAGATCATCATAAATACTCCGAATAACTGTGAGGCCAGCAGTAGTAAAGCCCAGCTGCAATAAAGTCATGCAGTGGTGCCAGGGAAGCTGATATATACTGGGGACAGTGGTGACAACTGGAGATATGGGAGAAAGGTTGCAGTTTCTCCTGGTTCCCCATCACCCACACTCCACCTCATGGAGGTGTGAGCTTAGCCTTTAATAACCCACACAAGCCTGGGCACATTCCCAACTCATCACTTGGTTAGTTTCTTCTGTGATTAGTTGGTGTCACGTTTACATGCAGTGCCCTTTAACATTGTTTTTCAAAATATGCTAATGTTGTGAAGAGGCATATAAAACCTATTGCAGGAAGAGATGATTCAAGGTCACATGATCCAGCTGTAACTAAGCTTCATCAGATTGGAAAGTTTTAGGCCTAATCCTAAAAGTAGAGAGGGTATCTATTCTCAGTACCAGTGTTCAATAGCTCTATTGTCTTATTCCAACTAAAGAGATGGGTTTGCAACCAGCAACTGCTAAACTACTAAAGTTGAAGTCATGTCATGAACCGCTGTGTGTCTAAAGGTTTTGTAGATCTGATGAAGCAAAAACAGGAAAACAGGTCTAAATAATAACAGCTTCAATGCTTCTTATTTCAGAGAATCAGAAAGTCCAAAGTCAAGTCCAAAAATCCTTTAGTCAACGAAGCATTTAGCTGGGGAATCCAACACAAAGAACACAAAGCTAAGGAAACACACAACTATATGCAACAAAAGACAAAGGAATACTGAGACAACATATATACAAAAGGTAATGCAGGAAGAGGAGACGGGTGAGGACCAAAACCAAGCTGAAGCCAACAGGGAATCAGTGAGGACAGGGACAGGAACAAAAGCTACACTCAACATGAATAAAAACAGAACCCTTTAAAGTAAAGACAGACAACAAGATGGAGTGAACATGAAGACAAAGATGACAAAGACAAACAGAGATGAGACAGAAGGAGGAACAGAAAAAGGGGAACTAATTAAAAACAACCCTAAAGTTACTGTTTTAACAGCAACTGAAGCAAATAACAAGGCTAGAAAGACAAAACTTGTAAACACAAATCAATTAATGAGTAAAAAAATTAAACACTAACAATAACAGAAACCTAATCCAAAGATCACATAACTTCAAAACTACAAAGAATTCTGAACTTGAAAATTCAAAACCCTGGGTCCAAAACCGGGTGACCACTTGTTTAACCATTCACAGAATGATCGCAGATCAGTTGCTCACTACTTCCTAAAACTTGTTGGCTTGTTGGTGGTTTAGTAATTGGTGACCTGAAGGCCAGACAGAGATTGTAGAGTTTGTATGGAAAGTCCCTGACACTCACCAACGCTGGCCGAGCAGTACTGAAACTGTGAAAAGTGAGACAGAAGCAGGAAACATTTACTTTCAAGTTAAAAGCACTTAAGTATGTTCAAGGATATAAGGAAGCTGTAGCTTTAAGATGTTCTTGCTTTTGAGACCAACTATCACGAACTCGTCTTTACTGCAAATTCTGCTAATCACCAAAGAAATCACAAAGAGATTTTTGGTGCAGGACTCTCTTCGCTGTTGATTTCACCTACAGACACAAACCTAAAGACAGTACTTGCCAACCAGTTTGGGAATACTTTTCAGTTATGTATGACAATGTTAGACTGTCATACTGGTGTCATACTGCAAACTGACCAATGACTGATTGTCATGAGTGCTATTCACAGAGCGCTGAATGGCTACAACCACATCGTTGTAAGATGATGAATGATGAAATATATACTCTTAGGCTCTCTCTTTGATTCAGCGATGGCTGCCCAAATCAGCGATCCTCACTGTCCTGAATGTGCACATCCTTATCACCGAAAGAGCGGCTGCTGGCCTGTACATGTAAACAGAGCAGTCCTGGACTGATTCTATGCTGTGCTATCCACTCCTCCAGTGTGAACTGAGCTGCTTGCAGTGAGATTGTAAATAGAGAACTGCTGTTTCCCTCAACTCCAGGAACATTTCTGAACATTAGCTTCACTTT